TTCGTATCAATTTTATTAATTTTGTTTAGCGGCGATGACGTCGACGACGACGACGACGAAATTTTAATGTTTGTTACGAGTGCCAATTTTTATTTATTTAAAAATTTTTTTTTCATTATTATGTCGTCCCCCTTTTTTTTTTGATTTTTTTTAAAATCAAAAGTTCAAGAGGTGAAAAAAAATAAAAAATAATAAAATTTCTGGAGAAAAAACAAAAAAAAAAAAAAAATGGCTGGAAGGAAATTTTTAAATTTCGAATTTAGAAAAAAAAAAAAAAATTTTGTTTGCTTTTTTAATGATTGATTCGATTTTGAAATTTTTATTTTTGGCTCTTTAACACGTCGATAAATTATTATTATTATCATCGTCGTCGTCGTCGTCATCATCATCATCATCATTATTATTATTATTTTCGGGATTTAAAAAAGTAAAAATGATGACGCGTTGGCGTCGTCGACGATGAGGAATAAAAAGGAAAAGTTTTTTTTTTTCTCTCTCTCTCTCTCGTTTCAAAAGTTCGAAAATCCTTAAAATTATTATCATTATTATCATTATTATTGTTATTTATTTTTTTAATAAATACGCTCCAGTGTGTGTTAATATGAATTCGTCATGGAGAATCTTTCCGTCTGGAAATTTTTTTTTTTTACCGAGTAAGTAAGAAGAAAATGGTGCGTGACGAAATGACAAGGAGGAGAAGGGGGAGAAGGAGGAGGGAGGAGTCGCAAAAACTGTTCGGAGCAACGAAGCGAACGGAGAAGATATTTTGAGGCTCCCGTCGTATTCCCCTTTCGAAGGGATTTTTCTGGAACCGAAGTAAATATCCGTTCGAACGGGATACAAGACAAAGAGGAAGGAAAAAAATTATTGTTATTATTATTATGGGGAAGAAGAAGAGACTTGAAATTGTTTACGAATTCTCTCTCTCTCTCTCTCTTTACTGTCGTTTGTGTTTCTTTTTCCACGTACCGAAATTTTTTTTTTTTTTTTTTTTTTATTAACCACAAAATGATCACTAAATTAAAGAAGAAAGAGTGAATGAGAGAGAGATAGAGAGAGAGAGAAGAGGAGTCATAGAAAGAAAACCGCAGATACGGATTCGGTTTGTTGTCGTTGTTGTTGTTGTGAATATCCTTGAGAAAAAAATGTACATGAGAATTGGGTCTCTGGTTTGAGTCATTAATATTATTATTATTATTACGTTTGAATTTTTTTGTTTGTACACTTACCCCGAGAATGAATGAATGAATGTTGAATGAAACAGAAAAAGAGGAAGCGAAAAGAGAGAGAGAAAGAGAGAACAATTGTCGTTTGTCTTTGTTTTTTTTCCGAAAGCAGGAAAAAAAAAAATTTTTTTTTGGAAATTTTTGTCCAGTCGTCGTCACCGCTCCAGGGCATTGTAAAAAATTTTTGTTTGACTTCCGGTTTATGAAATATAAAAACGAAATCCGGTAAAAAAAAAAAAAAAATTTTTTTCGAATCGCGTCGCTTTCCTGGAACGGAACCGGAACAAAAAAAACGGTCAAAACTGTGAAATCGTTTGTTGTTCGTTTGTTTGTTTGTTTATTCATTTTCTTTAAGATTCTTATTAAAATTTTATACCACTGAATCATCATCATCATCATCGGACATCCGTCATTCGTCATCCGTCCGTCGTTTTGTTGTTTTATTAAAAATTTATTCGACTTAAAGAGACAGAGAGAGAAAGAGAAAAGTTTGAGCGGAAAAAACTGGAATCGGTCGAATTTTTAGGTAAAAAATTATGAAACGAAAAAGAAACAAAGCAGAAGAACTTTTTCAAACTTTGATGTAATCGTTGATGATACAAAAAAAGGAATAAAAAGGAATAAAAAAAAGGAAAAAAAGGAAAAACCTCTTAAAGAAAAGTATTTTTGGTCGTGGTGGTGGTCAGACAAATGGAGAGGAGAGGAGAGACGTTGGAGTTAAAAAAAAAAAAGGAAAGAAAAAGAAATTATTATTATTATCTTAATATCCTACGAGTTTGTAAGATGATAATAATAATAATAATAATAATTTTTTTCCTTTTTGTCCTTTTTTTTATTCCTTTTTCCACGAAAAAAATCGAAGGAGGATTTTCATTTAAAAAAAAAAAAAAGTTTTAAAGATCAATTTGGGAATACAAGTGGAAAAAAAGGAAATTAAGAGAGAGAGGGGGGAGGGAATCGATCGATCGATTTCATTGGAAAAAAGGAAAAAATTATTATTATCATTAATTTATTTCATTAGGATTTGAAAAGTAACGGTCGCGCCATAGTCGACAAAATTTTTTTTCTGCCACCACGAATCTTTTCAAATCTCTTATTCGATCCCGATCTAACTGTAAAAATTTTAAATTTTAACCTTTTTTTTAAAAAAAAATTACTCGCTTGTGTCTCCTTTGAAAAAAAATTTTTTTTTCCTTTTTATTATTATTATCATCGTTTTTTTCCTTTTCCTTACGTTTTGAGTCGTTCGCTTTCTTAAAGCAAAAAAAAGGAAAAAAAAAAAAAAAAAGGAAACGGAAAGTGAAATCCCGGTTTGATTTTCATTGAGTTTTTTCGTTTCCCTGTTTATTATTATTATTATTATTTGTTTGTTTTGTTGTTTGTTTGTTTGTTTGTTTGTTTCTTTTAATTTCTCTTATTTTATTTCAAAGGTTTTCTCTATTTGTTTGTTTGTTTTTTTTTGTTTCCTTTGCCTCTTTTTCTTTTCCAATCGTAAAGAGGATTTTGAGTTTTTCATTTTTTTTTTTTTGAGTCGATTGTCAGCTTTTAAAACTTTAAAACCTTTTTCCTTCTTTATTTATTTATTTTTTTTTTGGGGGGGTAGGGGGGAAGCTTTAAAAATTTGAAACTTCCGGTTCGTTACACGACTAAATTTTTGTTTGTTTGAATTTTTGCTACAGGAAAAAGTTTTTCCTTTTTGATGGCAGGGGAGGGTGGTTCATTTAAAAGCAATTTATTTTAAATTTCCCCCCCCAAAAAAAAAAAATATTTATTTACTTTTTTCCTTTTTCATTTTGAAAAAAAAAGATAAATAAATAAATAAAACGGAAATGGAAAAAAAACGAAAGTGAAAAAAAAAAATGATAATAATGATGAAAATAAGTGAATGAGTGAGTGAATGAGTGAGTGAGTGAGAGTTATTTATTTATTTAATAATAAAGTCACGAATATTAATTCAATTCCACACGACAGGTGAATGAAACATTGAAACAATTCAGGCGCGTACACGCACACACGCACACGCACACACAAAACTTTAAAGTCTGCTTCCTGTGTGTGTGTGTTTGTCTTTTATCCATAAAACAAACGGAAAACTTAAATGCGGCGCTGGAGGCGACTTCCAGTCGACTGTGTCTCCCTTTATATTCATTCATACGAAAAACAAAAAAAAGGGGAAGAGAGAGAGAGAGAGACCTCTCTTTCTCTCTTCTCTTGCCCTTTTTTTATTATTATTATTATTTTATTTTTGCGGAAATGCCGACATATTGATTTTATTTATTTATTTTTTATTTCTTTTGAATTTTTTACGCTCGGTGACGTGTCAGGAGAAAATTCATTCACGTCGTCCGATTTTTTTCCTTTCTTTTTGATCCTTCTTGATCCTTTTTTTCCGATCGATTGATTTTTTTACGAGTCCGTGAGAAATTTTCTCACGTCTTGTTAAACTTTTTATCGGAAAAAAGACGAGGAGAATGACGACGAAGATGACGATAACCCCCCCTCAAATAAAAAAAAAGAAAAAGGAAAAGTGGAAAAGAAAAAAAAACCGCAGGCGATGCGAGTGTCGTCATTTTTTTTCATCTCCAGGAAATCGAAAATGAATAAATAAATGACGAAACGAACGAACGAAAGTATGAATGAATGAATGAATGAATGATTGATGACGTCATTGAAAAAGTAAAAAAAATAATAATAACAAAGTTTAATAATAACGGTTATTTTTATCAAATTGTAAATCGTCCGTTTTTTTTTTTTGTTTCTCTAAAAAATTTAATTATTTCATTTACATAACAAGAAATGAAATTTCTCAAAATGGAAAAAACCGTTTAATTCAGTATTATTATTATTAACCCGCCCCCACCCCTTCCTCTTCCCTCTGTCTCCCATGTGTTTCCCTTTGTTTCCCTTCTTCTTCAATCTTTTTTTGACTTTTCCGGTTAAATTTAATTCTCGATACGACACCACCTGAAATTTCTATTTTTTATTTCCTCTTCTCTCCCTCTCTTTTCCCCCCGAACTTCCTTTTCTTCGACTTCCGGTTAAATTTCATTCGCGCTCCGATTCTTTTCATTTATTGTATTCAAATCGTGCGTTGCGCATTTTTTAAAATCATTTTCAAAATTTATTTTTTTACCGGGCAGTTATAATTATTATTATTATTAATCACAATTATCGTGACGGTTGTCGGTTGTTGGGGCGGTGCGTCGATGGTGTTGGTGGTGTTAGTGTTGATGGTGGTGGTGGTGAATCCGTTTTAATTATTTTTCAATTTATTCACGGTAACGAAGCGAATTATTCGAATAAATCGAATCTCATTCATTACTCTTTCGCCGCCGCCGCCACCTCCCCCCGCCCCCGCATCCACTCAATCACTCATTCGAAACAAGTTTATTAACCCTTTTAATTATCATCATCATCATCATCACCATTCGGAAAATAAACGGGGTTTTTATTATTTTTTTTTTTCCGCGTAAATGCGTTCATGAATTTAAATGTTCGTCTCGTAGAACTTTCTAGAAAAAAAACCGAACGAAATTTATTATCATTATCATTATCATTTTTATTTATTTATTCGATTCGGGCAAGCGAATGCGTGAATTTTTAATTGGTGCGTGAATTATAGCTTTATAATGAATAAATGAAGTAGGGGGTCAGGATGAATTAAGTGATGGGAGGAGGGAGAGGGGAAAGTCATTCCCTTCCTCTTTCACCCCCACCCCCTACCCCCCCAAAATTGAAATTTTAAAAAAAATCAAACTTAACTTTTGGTTTCAGATGACGGGGAAAAGAAGCCGTAGTTTTAAATGCGCTGTCCACCAAAGGGATCGAGAGGTGTGCAGCGAAAACGATTTTCACATATTGGTTCACGAACCACCATTGTTCAGAAGGTAAATAAATAATAATTATTATTATTATTATTATTTTAAAATTTTGATAAATTCCGATTATCGAACGGATTACACAACAACGAAGACGTCGACGACGACGACGACAAAAGAGAAAAAAAGTAAAAAAAGAAAACCTTGAAAGAAAGAAAGAAAAAAAAAAAAAAAAACTACTACTGACTGACTGTGGCTAGACGTTTCACCTCTTCACACGTGGGAAGTCCTCCAAGTTCATTTGGGGGGAGGGGTAGGGGAGAGGGAGAGGGAGAAAGAGGGCTACAAACCGAAAAAAACGTGGGAGACAAGACGAACGAACGAACGTTCGTACGTTCGTCGTCCGATCAGATCATTCGATTTCTTTTCTTTTTTTAAATTTTTTCAAATTTTAAATTTGTCTGGTTGTTCCTTTGATAAAACGAAGGTCAAAGGTTAAGGGTCATAGTTCAAAGTTATTTAGAAAAAATTTTTTTTAATCAGGTTTCCGACGGGGGTTCTGCTGATGCCACGTTTGAAATTTGAGCTTTTCCTTTCTTTTTCTTTTTGTTTTTTTGGCTTTACGGTGATTTTGACGACAGTTTTCCCCCGTCGCGTGTCGTCGTTTGTCAGTTCGTCCGTTTTCGAATTTCCTAATGATAATAATAATAATAACAATCGCGAAAATAATTTTAAAAAAAAAATTGTGTCGAGTGTTTTTTTTTTTTTTGTAAAAGAACGTTTCGAAAAATGTGAAAATGGCGGGAAAAGAGAGAAAAAAAGAGAGAGTGAGTGAGAGAGAAAAAGGAAAAAAGGAAAACAGAAGGAAAAGAAGTTTTCACGTTCGTTCGAGCATTTAATAACTCGTAATAAGATTTAACAAAACACGTTATTTTATTTTTAAGAAGAGAAAAAACGATAAAGTAATTAATTGTTTAAAGTTTGCTTACCTGAAGCAGAAAACAATAACGTTGTGATAATTAGCAGAAGGGGGGGAAACAAAATAAGGGGAAAAAGGAAAAACCTTGATCGTGGAAGGATTTTTCACATGACGAGCGCGAATAAAAAAAAATTTTTTTTTTCTCGAACGCCCTTCGTTTTTTTTTTTTTTTTTATAACGGAATTTTTTTTTTTTTTTTACATTAAAGAAGTGCAACGAATTGTAACAAATTTATTCACTTTCTCACTAATTACCAACTTTAAAAAAAAAAAAAAAATGAAAATGAAAAACGTAAAACAAAAGGGTTTTATCCGTGTGTTTGTTTGTTTGTTGTCTGGAATTTCAAGTCGGTTAAACAATATAATAATCCGACGTTCGTGCGTTCACGATACAAACACGAAATAATTTCGATTTTTATTGATTGATTCGATTGATGACGTGAAATTTTTTTTTTTTTTTTTTTTGCAAAACATTAAATTAAAAGAAAAGAAAAGAAAATTCGGCGAAGGAAAGAAGGAACGAACGCGGGCACGCACGCGAGTTTGGATTTAAAAAAAAATTTTTTTTTTCTTTTATTATTAAATGACGGAAACACCTTTAATTAACATTTCGCCGCTTATTCTTTTTACTATAATTAATGCGGGTTTGATTTAATTATTTTTAATGGCGATTTCGGGTCGTCGTCGTCACGTTTTTTTTTTTTACCTTTTTAAAATGAAAAAAAAAATAATAATAATGATAACGAATGAGAGAGAGAGAGAGATGTCGAAAGCACAGGTTTCAGGTATGTATTGTTACGCGATCGCGCACGCGTAAACAATGGAGGAGAGAAAAAAAAAGAAAAATTGTTTCGTGCGAGAAAGTTTTTTTTTAAATCGATTAATAATAATTGATTGGATTCTCGGGTAGCGTGTTTGAATATTAGAGAGAGAGAGAGGAAGAAAGAGAGAAAGAGAGAGAGAGAGTAGACATGATTTAAAACGAAAACGGCAACGGTTACGGAAAGAAAAGGTCAAGCTCACGGTCAAAGGTGAAAGAAATTATATCGAACGTGTTTAATAAATTTTTTTTGGTTTTTTTCTGGAATTTTCGATGCGAGGGAAGGAGAGATAAGAAAAGAAAAAGAGAGAGAGAGAAACAATGGCGAAATTTTCGATTTGATTTGAAATTATAAAAAAAAAAAAAAAATTGTTTTCGAAATTATTCTTTAGAAAGAATGGCGTCAGATTGGAAAATCGGTTTCCTTTTTTTTTTTTTTTTTGTTACCTTTCTTCCTTTCGCCCCTCCACCTCCCCTCCCTTCTTCCCACTCCACTTTATCCGACCCCTCGAATAATCGTTACTAATTAGAAAGATTATCCGGCGGATTTAAATGTAAAATTTTTTTTTCCTTCCTTTTTTTTCTACTTAACGAGGATTTGAGAAACGGAAAGGTTTCTTCTTTTTTTTTCCTTTTTTCCTTTTTTGTTGGTACTCACAAAGGAATGTGTTGAAATTGTTGAATAAACGAGGAAATAATAATTTTTCTTCCCGGTCGTCCACGAAAACCACGAAAGCGTAATAAAGTGAAAGAAAAAGAAAAGGAGGAGGGGAGAGGTCGTAAAGAATGAAAAAAAAGAGAGAGTGAGAGAGAGAGAGATGAAAGGAAAAAAGAAAAAGAATTTTTTTTTTTTGTTTGGCAAAAACTCAGATTTTATTTTTATTTAAGAATCAAAGACCTCTTGAAACAAAGACAATTTATTAGAGGAAAAAAAAAAGAAAAGGAGAGAGAGAGAGAGAGGAGAGAAAAATCAGCTGATGGATTAAGTTGAAATTTCAGAGAGACAAAGAAAGAGAAGGAAAGAGTCGAGGTGCGTGTGAGTGTGTGTAATCTTGCGTTCGTACGTTCGTGAGAGCTTTTTTAAAGAGAGTTTAAAAAGAGAGAGAGAGAGAGAGAGAGAGGAAGAGGAAGAGAAAGAGAGAGATTACACTATCATTTCGTCATTATCAACAATTTTGTTAAACGAACTACGAATTGAACTTTCTGTAGTTTTTTTTTTTTTTATTTAAATCCGAAAAGTTTTTCTCTCTTTCTCTCTCTTTATCTTTCTTTCCCCCTCTCTCTCTCTTTTTCTCCAGTTTAAAATATTTGAAATAAATAAAAAAAAATGTCTGACGATTGTTCTTTAATACAAATTTTTAAAACCTGCGTGTGCATGTACAATTTAAATTTTTTTTTTTTTTTCAATTGTTGTTGTTGTTTGTTGTTTGTTGTTGTTGTTGTTGTTGTTAATGCATTCACGATTCATTTTTTTAAATTTTTTTTTTATTTTTTTATAATTTCAGAATGGTGCGGTTAATAGCCAACGAATTCCTAACGGAAGAGCGAGACCGGAAATACTACGCGGATCATTACACATGCTGTCCGCCGCCATTGTTCATTTTACTCATAACACTAATTGAGGTGAGAGAAAGATAAAGAGAACGAGAGAGAAAGAGAGAGAGAGAGAGAGAAAATCTCTTATTTTAATTATACCTTTTCGTCAACCTCAAAAGCGTGGTAAAAATTCCGAAAGGTTTTTTCTTTTTTTTTCTCACCCGTTCGGTTGGGTGAAGAAGGAGGAAATCGGTTGAAACAAACGAATTTATTAGTATTATTATTATGATTATTATTATTATTATCATCATCTTCATCATCATTCCTATTCGTTATTTTCGAATTATTGACCGTGATAAATTAAATTTTAGAAAATATATATATATATAAATGTATTTTATCCGTTTGCTCGTGACGTTCGCGTACGGAAATTTCCAAGCGATTATTATTATTATTATTATTATCATTTACCGTAAGTTTCACAGACGCGTTGATTCCAGTTTTTTTTTTTTTTTTTTTTTTACAAAATTTTGGAAAGAATAAATCGAAGGGTAGAAATGCGCCGACGTCAAAAAAAAAAAACTAAAACTAAAATTACAACCGGGGGGGAAAAAGATTCGAAAGATTGAATTACTAAACCGGAAATGAAAAGACACCGACCGAGTGAGAGAGAGATAGTTACGGGCAGGAAGTCATTTTAGATTTTTCCCTGTTTTTGGATTTTGTTGTTTGTTTGTTTGTTGGACGTGGAAGCGTGCGTGCGTGGGGGGATGCGCGTGTTTTTTTTTTTTTTTTTCTAAAAAAAAAAACTTTGTTTTATAAATAAATTAAATTTTTCGGCGTCCGCGAACGATGAACGGTTGGTTGCAGGTGAGATGAGGGGGAGGGGAGGGTGTGACGTCATGAAACGTTCGCATTCCGTAACCGTTTTTTCGTGTCGCCATGATAATGATGATGATGATGATGACATCCAGCTTTTTTTTTTTTTTAAATACATTCATTTCTCATCAATTTTTTTTGTTTCCCCTTTCTTCCATCTTTTTCCCTTTTTTTTCTCTTTTTTTCTCGTCGTCTTCCTCCCCCCACTCTCTCTCTCTTCCCCTTTTCTATATTTTTAATTTTATTTTTGTCGAAAAAAAGGAAATCTTATTTTTATATTTGAATGAAATCGTTTCGACGACCTTTACCCAACCAGAAAAGCAGATAGAGGGATACAAAAAAAAAAGGGGGATATTTTTATTGTTTTCGAATTTCGTTGATGACGTCGACAACGACGACGACTGCAATCTTCTTCCACGATTTTATTAAATATTATTATTATTTTTCTGTTTTTTTCCCTGTTTTTACCGAAATTTATTTTTGAACACGTGTGAGTGTGTGCGTGTCACGCATACGTTGAAAATCATTCGCACCACACAAAATTTCGTGTTCCGAACGTGACGTCATAACACACGAAAATTGATGATAATGATGATGACTTTAATATTTTTTTGTTTTTTTTTGCAGTTGGGATTTTTCACGTATTATACGGTCGCGATGGGCGAAGTCAATCCTTCCGGTCCCGTTCCTATAGATTCAGTATTCATATACAGGCCAGATAAAAGACTCGAATTGTGGAGGTTTATATTTTACATGGTTTTACATGCAGGGTGAGTGTACCTGAAATGTTGTTTCCCCCCCTCTTTTTGCTGTCGTCTGAGGTGAGGGGGGCGCAAAAAAAGAAATTTTTTTTTTTTTTTCTAATATCATTCATCTTTCGATTTTCATTCAAGGTGGCTCCATTTATTATTTAATTTACTAGTCCAAGTCCTCGTCGGACTCCCACTCGAAATGGTTCACGGTTCCTTGAGAATAGGAGCCGTTTACATGGCGGGAGTTTTGGCGGGTTCTTTAGGCACGTCGGTTTTCGACACGGACGTTTACCTCGTGGGAGCATCTGGCGGAGTGTACGCTTTGCTCGCCGCTCATTTGGCAAATATTTTACTCAATTACAGCAACATGGAATTCGGCATAGTTCGACTCATAGGCATATTCGTCGTGGGTGAGTTTGGAAACAAAAGGAAAAAGAAAAAGGAAAAAGGAAAAGGGGGAAAAGTAAAAGAAAATGAAATTTTTTTTGTTTTTGTTTTTGTTACAGCGTCTGCGGATGTCGGATTTGCAATTTACGACAGGTACGCGGCGGAACAAGTCGGTCCACCGGTTTCCTACGTGGCTCATTTAACGGGAGCTTTGGCCGGACTAACAATCGGACTTTTGGTTCTTAAAAATTTCGAACAAAAGCTTCACGAGCAATTAATGTGGTAAGTATCATCATTTTCGGAATGATGCGAACACTCACGTACGCACGCACGCACGCACACACGTTCGAACAAACGCGTGGTGCGTGCGAGAATAGTAATAATAATGATAATGATAATATTTACGAAAATAATTTTACTCACACCACGAAAATATCCATAGAGAGCAATAAAAATAAGTAATAAAAAACCGTAAATATTCTCGCTCTCTCTCTCTCTTTTTTTTTTTTTTTTTAAAGAAGAAGCAGAAGACTTTTCAAAAAAATAAAAACAATTACCACGATGCCCAATATTATTATTATGTAACTTTATATTGCATTTTTCAGGTGGGTCGCCCTCGGGGTTTACGCAGCCTGTACGATATTCGCCATCTTATTTAACGTTTTCAATCCGGGACCGCCGCCGTTTCCATGATATGAGGCCTACCCAGGACGTTACGTCCTGGGTGGTGGCCTGCCTGTTATAAGTCAGTAGGACATTCCGAAAGTGAAAATAATCAATTAATTAATTATATGTCGCGAAAAATGAGCGAAAGGCGAGACGGGGGGGAGGAGAGAAATGTTTTAAATGATGAGTTTTCTCTCTCACTCTCCCTCTCTCTCTTTCTCTGCCTCGGAGCTTTTCCGTCGTGAAAAGGACATAGATAAAACAAAAATGAAAAACTCGCTTTTTCGCACGTGCACGTTCACGCACATGTAAATATTTCACACGTAAAACACACACACACATATTTACACTCGTGAACTTTATTTATTTATTTAAACGTTTGAAATGATAATAATGATAATGATAATGATAATAAAAAATATCGAAAGACTTTTACTACTCGCTGTAATATCGGTCGGGGAATTTTTTTTTTTAATGGAAAAACAAAAAAAGAAAATTGCACGTTGTATTTTGTGTACCGTTACGATTCGACACCATCGTCGTCGTCGTCGTCGTCAACGTCGTCGTCAACGTCGTCGGCATTCTCATTCTCATCATCGTGATCATCATCATCATCATCATCATCATCATCATGGTCATTACTACTACTACTACGATAAAGTGAAACGTCAGAGACTGGAATCAAAGGGCTTATGACTGGATTCTCATTATTATTATTATTATTATTTTTAATTATGTAAACGAGTCAATAATAATTTTTTTTTTACAATTTTGAAAACTCGATATATTTTACTACAAGAATACATATTATTATTATTATTATAATTATATTATATATATTTATTTATATGTATAGGATGATATTGTAAATAATATATATACATTTTAGAAAATTTCGAAGCCGAAAAAAAAAAATTAATAATAATAATAATGAAAGTTTTTTGTTTTGTTTTTGTACATGAAAAATAAGTCAATTTTGCACGTTATATTGTAATGATAATAATAATGATAATGATAATGATAATGATGATATTTATTTAATTTTGATTGTTTTTTTTGTTTTCTTTTTTGTTTTATTTACGCACTATAATTGATATTGAAATTATTATTATTATTATTATTATTATTGCTAATATTATGTCATTATTGATTATTATTATTGTTATTATTATTTATGACGTAATAATAATAATAATAATATTAATAATAATAGTAGTAGAACGTATTCGAAATTTTAATTTTTTTTTCTTTTTTTTTTTTTTTTGGTTCTGGAAACGACAATCAATAATAATAATAATAATAATAATACGAGTATTTATATGAGTAAAAATTGAACACAAAAAAATTTAACGCGTGCGTTTATTCAAAAAAAAATATTAATAAAACGCGCGTAACTTATTATATCATCGTCAAAGAAATTTTTTTTTTTTTTTCAAATTAATGTTTAACTTACGGGGGGGGTGGGGGGCAGAAAAAAAAATTAAAATCTCGAAAATTTTTTTTATTTTTATTTATTTCGTCGTGTGTACACGTGTATTATTCGATGGAATATATATTCACGATATTATTAACAGTCAAATAATAATAACAATAATACGTACAAACGTACAAACGTACAAACAAAATAAATATATATTTTTTTTTATTATTATTAATAAATAAAAAGTCCGAATTTAAAAAAATTTTTTATACGTACCGCATATATATATTTATATACATAAAAGTTTTGAGTTTTTTTCTACATTCGATTTCGTTTCGAAAAAGTTGAAAATTGAATTTTCCGATTAGAGTGAAAAAAAAAATCACGACGTGTGATGATTATAATAATAATAATAATAATAATTTTTTTTTAAATATATAAAATTCGATTTGATAAGCAAAAAAATATATATATATATAAATAAAAATCATATCTAATGTAATGTATTAATGTCGTAGATTTTCAACGAATGAATGAATGAATGAAAAAGCTATAAACGCTCCTACAAATAATAAAATTTAAATAATAATAATAATAATAATGATAATGATAGTTTTTTTTTTTTTTTTATTCATGTAAATGAAATGTAACGGCTTAATTTTTTTTTATTTTTATTATTCGATGATTAATAATAATAATAATAATATTAATTCATAATAATAATATTAATTCTATATTTATATAGTATTTTAGTAGTTGTAGTAGTAATCGTCGAATTAAACGACTGTAATTTATACTATATTATACAATTTGTGAAAAAAAAAAAAAAATTTCCGTTTGTTTGTTTGTTTGTTTCGTTCGTTGTTTGTTTGAAAAGAAAAATCTTCCGAAATTTTTACGATCGCATTCCTGATTGGCGGATTTCCATAGGTGAAGTTTATTTAAGTTTTTTTTCAGAGATGTGAAACGATTGATCTTCCATACACATATATATGAGCTACCTCAAATTGTTTATATTTTTTATGTAATGACGTCATTAATTGCTTTCGTCACTTATTTTGTAAAACGTAAAATTTGATTTGTGTGTAATTGTGTATTTAATTTGTAATTGTTCGAACGACAACGACGACGAAGTATTTTTTTTGTTAAATTTAATACTGTATTATTATTATTATTATTATTATTATTATTATTATTATTATTATTATTATTATTATTATTATTATTATTATTATTATTATTGTTTTTTTTTTTTTTTTGTAAAACTGGGAAAAAATTTTTTTTTAAGATTTGTTAATAAAATTCGTGGGGGGGCAGTGAGGGAAGGAGACGAATAAAAAATTTTTTGTTGTTGTCGATGTTGCAAAAATAAATTTCGTAATTGATGAATTTGAGTGTGTGTGTGTGTAAATTATTGTAAATTATTATTATTATTATTATTAATAAATTATTTAAATATATATTAATAATAATAATGATGATGATGATGATGATTAAAACGTTATTAATAACGTAAATAAATGTGCTTAAAATTTTTAATTTTTTTTTTGTTTTTGTTTTTTTTTTTTTTCGTTTATAATATCATTTTGTGTGAATCGTTATCAAACTATTATTATTATTATTATTATTAATAGTATTATTATTATTTTAATAACTATGGTCACTGTTTGCCGAAATTTTTTTGTGATTATTATACATTGATTGGATTTTTTTTTGTTGTGTATCAAAGAGTTTTGGGATGGGAGATAGAATGAAGACGTGGAAGAAGAAACTTTTCCACGGTTTGTAAATAAATCTTAAGATTATGTTTTTTTTCCATATGCGAATTGGGGAGACGAATGACTTGGTTAGGAGAGAGAGAGGGGGTCAATGGAAAAAATGGAAGAATCTCTTTATTTATTTACGTATTTATTAATTATTGTACGAATAATTATTAATAACACGAAATTTACGGGGTTCTTTTTTAATATTATCATTTATTATTATTATCATTATTATTTATACGTACGATAGTTTCGGCTAACAGTATTAACAAAACAACATTTATGGTAAAAAAAAAAAAAAAAAAATTTTCTATGTAAATAAGTAATTTATTTTGTATTCGTTTTTCGAATTGTATGGCGTAACAAAAAAGTAAATTTTTTTTTTTTTTTTATTAATTATTATATTTTATTTATATATATATATATAATCATACATATGTTTATGTATGATTACATATATATATCTACTTATGTATACATATATGTATACATAAATAAATGTATAATTAATAGCTTATTTAGAAGTGATTTTATGAAGCTAGTCAGGAAGGTGTAAGAAGTTACTTTTGGATAATAAAATAATTATTATTATTATTATTAATATTATGAAATATAGAAAAATGACATTATTATTATCAATATTATTTTATTTTATTTTTTTTTTCCTTTTATTTATTTATTTATTTTTTAATATTTATCATCAATTGATAATGTGTGTTCGATTGAATTTAAATGTCTCATAGTTTGTTTTTTTGACAAAAGATGGCGCAGTGTGTTACTTTTTAAAAAGCGGTGACTGATGGTGGATTCAGGTATTAAAATTTAAAAAACTTCGAAACAGTATAAAAAAAAAACGGAAAGGAATAGGAAGGAAGGTAAGTGAAGTAATATTTAATTTCGCGATTTCGGTGATATCTTAAACTAGAGTTGGACCTGTACAGGTTTGAACTCAGCGTCTTCCTTACTTTAAATTTCTCACCGTCAATCACAGTAATTATTGTCGCTCTTAGGGTTATTATTAGGGTTATTGTGGTTTCTTTTCGCCTTCCATCAAGGGGGACATACTCGAGGTGGCGGTGAACGCAGGGCGCTGTTTTCTCACTGTCGCTCGGAGTAGCGCGAACTTAAAAGGGGGTTATGGCTTAGGGGGCCGTGTCATTGAAGTTAAGGGAGAAAACAAAGCAGCTAAAGCGGCAGATCTAGCTGCCAAACTAACGGAGGTGGTTGGGTCAATGGGGGTCACGTTAACTTCGCCTTAAAAGAGAGGCGACATTCGCGTATACGGCCTGTGCAAATCGGCCTCATCGGGGGACGTTTTTCCGCGATTTTAAAGGCAAGAGGGTGCGCGGAAAATTCCGTTAAAGTGCACTGTTTACTCGGTAGAGGCGCAAGACGTATGGCATTTGTCTCCTTTTCGGCTGCGGTTGTTTCCACTTTGCTGAAGGCTGGTAAGATCGTTGTAGGGTGGGGCATCGCTAAGATCGTCCTTCCTTTTCGTAAAAGGGCTGTCTGCGTTAGATGTCGTAACCCGGGGCATTTCGGCTCATCGTGCCCCGTGCACCCGGAAAGGTTGGATGAGACACACCAGCAGTGTTTCAGGTGTGGAGAAAAGGGACACCAGGCGCGAGAGTGAATGAATGCTGTCTGTTGTGCGCCTTGCGCGGCGGCTAATCGGACGACTAATCATCGCCTTGATGGGCCGCATTGCGGAGCACCGCTGAGGAAGGGGGGAATTCACGATTTTGAGCTTGACGGAACACAGGGATGGTATAACAGAACGGTTTCTTCTTTGCCCGAGCCGAGAACAAACGGCCTCTTGTATAGCTCGTAATAGGATGGCGCGG